GCCAAATCGCTTTTTGTCCGCTTTCAACGTCTCTTTGCCACGGTTTTCTACGAATCCCGTTCGCCCCGCCCCGCCCCACCCCCCACTCCTACCCCGCCGCCGACGTCGTGGAACGGTTCTCGGACTCGTCTAACCGGAAACAGCGTCATTGTCCGCCCTTGGAACGACCTTCGTCGCTCGCCGAATATTAGACACCTGAAAACCTAACCTAAAACCTATCCCCCACATCCCTCCCCCTCCCGCCGCTCCACAGGTAGCCGAGCCTTCCCGCCGATCCCCGGCTCCCGTTTCCACTCTGCTAACGTTTCCATTGTTCACTTAATTGTTCCGGATTAAAGCCTGTGTCGTTGTCGACTGGCGATCCCCGCAGTCACGCCACCCGAACGAACCCCTTTTGCCGCCGCCGTCGTCGTCGTCGTATCGCATCCAGAAGAGTAAATCGCCGTTGAACGGAGTAAATTAGACTTCGCCTGCTCGGCCACGGTAATCCGAGTTTGCCCGATATCTAATTCGTCGGATCTAATCGCGTTCGGGATAACTTACGGATAATTGTTCCCACAAGGGAAAGTATTCGACGACGGAAGTTTCGTCGACGAGATCTCGAATTTCTCGAGGTTTACGGAAAAACAAGAGGTTTCCTCGTTTGATAAACATTGTCGGCGATTGTTCATTGACACGTGATGCAGATTTTTAGGAGGAGCCTGTTAATTGTTATTGAATTTTATTCGATAGAATTGAATAGAAAGTTATTATTGGATATTATGGATATTTCTTTTCAGTCGAAATGAAATTCTTGTTCTCTTGTCGTCGATTTTTAAGCATTCAAGTAAATATATATCATAATAATAAAAATATAATATAATATAATAATAGTAATAATAATATAATATATATAATATAATAATAGTAATAATAATATAATATATATAATATAATAATAGGAATAATATATATAATATATATAATATAATAATAGTAATAATATATATAATAAATTGTCTGTTCTCATCTCAAAAATTATTACAGTCGAGCAACTTCTAATTACTGCAACTGCAACGAAAAATGACACGGCAAGGGGTTAAATTCGAGCGTCACAAAATAATGAAATGCATACACAATTTGTGTTCACTCGTCGAGCGGAGTCACGGAACGCGTGCACTTCGTCGATGAAATTTCGTTCGATCGAAACGCGCGATACGAAACACTGTCGTAGTTTTCACAAGATTTTTCGATTTTAATGAACCTAGCCGTTTCGACGCGTGACAACGTGACGAACAATTTTCCCGTCGATACGAATTTTCTGCATACGCGAACGTCCCTCGTTGCATCGACGCTTCGACGCATCAATTACACGATGTCAACGAATTTCTTTCGCTCGTTTTAGGTCGGTATTGTTTCCGTGTCACGTACATATCGCGCAAGAGAATCCACGAAATAGTATTCTGTGTGGCAGCTAACCTCTAACCTCAAACTTCGTCCGTCCTTCGAACGTCTAGGAAAACTGTACTGATGAGTCCTCTAGCGGGTCCCGGACGAAACGCTCTCCCCCCTGTTCCCTCCAAACCACCGTTCCTCTCACAGCCGTCAAATTCTAAGGGTGTTCAAAAAATGTCTCGCAATCCGGAAATGGGGGATTCCTGAGGTAATTTCAAGTAACTTTTTCCTTAGCGAAATTGCAATCCGTCGCTCCGTTTACGAGTTATTAACGAAAAACACTGACCAATCGGAGAGCGACAGCGGCCGGCGCCTCGCCCTTGCGGCCGATGCCGCGTCGCGCCGGCCAGCTGACGCGGCGGCAGTGGTCGCGAGGGCGGGGCGCCAGCGATCTCTCGTTGGTCAGCGTTTTTCGCGAATAACTCATGAACGGTGGCTCGCAGAAAATTTCTGCAAAGGAAAAAGTTGCTTCGAATGACCTCAGGATTGTGATCTCGTGATCTCTCCTACATTCTATGTATAATACTTCTGATCGACCGGCTTCGGCAGAGGTGTTGAGAGAACTATACATGCGAACAGAACGAAGAAAGATCACGATGCTCTAAATACAGAAAAAGTATCGTCTTTTTATCGGACACGGCCGATCGAGAACGTTTTCCCGGGCACTGGTAAACGCCGGGATCTTAGAATGGCCCTTTTGTCGGGTATATCCAGACACGCGGCAAAAAACCGTGTATCTCAATTTAGCTGTAGAAAACGCGAGTACACTGGCAGAAAGAGAGAGAGAGAGAGAGAGAGAGAGAGAGAGAGAGAGAGAGTACCTTTTGGAGCGAATCCAAGGTATCGCAATCGACTCCGGAGTCTATTATCTGGCCGCTTTTCAAATAACCGTCTATCCTTTCCGCCGTGTCGTATTAAACGGATTAAAGGGAAAGCTCGCGAAGCCCGGTTTCCAAGCAGTTTCCAACCGACGCACCTGCACAGAAATAGAAAAACCATCGACGGCAGAGGGAGAGGAGGTGATCGAATCATGCGGCCCCACTCGTGTCTCGCGTAAGCGGACGTTAACGCCGTATCCCTCGGAACATCGCTCTCCAAGATCACGTAATCCATATTTTTTTCCCCCCACCCCGGACCGTCTCGAGCGGGGAATTTACCGCGGCTGTCCATATTCGCCGGGCGAGATCTACTTAACCCAATTCGGGGCGATCCGCGGCGATTTATAGTTCCCATTGATTCTAATAGAATCGAAATCCCTATCGTTTCGACGGCGGCGTCGCTCAAATGCACGGGGACGAGTGACTTAACGCGCGTTACACCGGGATCGAAATAATCGTATCGGCGAATTAAACTGTACGGTTCGTCGAGATTTCTCTGTTAGCCTCGCCCCCTCCGGGGAGGGGGGGATATCGATGCCCACGATTCTTACGGCGCGCAGAAACACAGAGGCGAGACGCATCGGCTCGGATAATCGTGTTCTTTCGACCGGAAGGCCATTCGTCATCCTGATGTATCGTTATGACTCCGCGAATGATTCTCCCTCCCACCCCCCACCCCACCTTCTTGCGAGCCAAGTTTCCGCACGGTACACGGGAACACACTATAAGCCGTGGTTTATGTGCTCGCGAAACTTCTGAGGTCCGCGCCGCTTACGGTGTCCCACGGAAACACTAATTTATCAGGGACGTGCGCCGTGAACGGTGTGCCCGCGCAATTTCCGCTCGTCGATTATGATTATTTTCGTCGGAAATGTATGTAACTCCTCGCGTCTCGTGCGTTCTACAATTTGTCATGGGAAATGTAATTATTCTGGGGATTTTTTTTTTAGGGAATATTAGCCGCGGTTTTTTATTATAAATACTGCGAGTCGCCGGCGAAAATTCTCTTGACAACGACGTCGTGGACAACAATGATTTTATTCGTTCACGGCTCTGCTCAGAATGTCTCGATTTTTCTTCTTTCTTTCTCTTTCTTCCTTTTTCTTCTTTCTTTCTCTCCACTGCATTTTCTTGCCACTCTTTCTCTTTAATGCACTATGTCCCATTCTATTTCACTTGCTGTCTTACTTATTCCCTCTCTCTCTCTATCTCATTCACTCACTCTCTTTCTTTCTCTCTCTCTCTCTCTCTATCTCACTCACTCACTCTCTTTCTTTCTCTCTCTCTCTCTCTCTATCTCACTCACTCACTCTCTTTCTTTCTCTCTCTCTCTCTCTCTATCTCACTCACTCACTCTCTTTCTTTCTCTCTCTCTCTCTCTCTATCTCACTCACTCACTCTCTTTCTTTCTCTCTCTCTCTCTCTCTATCTCACTCACTCACTCTCTTTCTTTCTCTCTCTCTCTCTCTCTATCTCACTCACTCACTCTCTTTCTTTCTCTCTCTCTCTCTCTCTATCTCACTCACTCACTCTCTTTCTTTCTCTCTCTCTCTCTCTCTATCTCACTCACTCACTCTCTCTCTCTCTCTCTCTCTCTCTCTCTCTTTCTATCTCTCTCACTGACATAATGACAACAACGTCGTGGACAATAATGATTTCATTCGTTCACGGCTCTGCTTAGAATGTCTCGATTTTTCCGTTCCAATCGTCTCCTTAATTCTTTCTTTCTCTTCACTGCATTTTCTTGCCACACTTTCTCTTCAATGCACTATGTCTCACTCTGTCTCACTTGCTGTCTTACTCATTCCCCCCCTCTCTCTCTATCTTACTCACTCACTCTCTCCCTCTCTTTTTCTCTCACTCACTCACTCACTCACTCACCAACTCACGCACTCACTAGCACTCTATCTTTGGACTACGCAGGATCATGACATAACCTATGCAATAAGATCGAGTTACTCGAAACTGCAGTAATTTATCAAAATATTTTAAATAACTGAGGTTCCATATGTGAGGTGCTACTGCCTGACTTTAGTACACTCTGTCTCATTTTATTTCACTCGCTGCCTTACTCTCTCTCTCTCTCTCTCTCTCTCTCTCTCTCTCTCTCTCTC